TATATATATATATAGATAGATAGATAGATAGATAGGTATGTAAATAGTGAAAGTAATGCAGAGAGCATATGTATAGAAGTAATGGGTATACAGGGGGTAATCAGATTAGTAAATTTGTATAATCCTTGTTCGGAATTATCAGTAGGCATTCTGAAAAGTGCCATGGGAGAATAATCAAAACAAAATGATTATGTGTGGTGATTTTAAAGCACACGATAGTATTTGGGGAAGCAGGAACAAAGATAAAAATGGTGAAGTAATAGAAGAATTCATGGAAGAAAACTCTTTAGTGTGTCTAAATGATGGCAACCCAACAAGAATAGATAAGAGGTGCAATGTCATGTTTAGATATCACAATAGTTTCAGCATCATTAGCTGGTAAATGCATATGGTCAGTATCTAAAGATAATATTGGAAGTGATCATTTTCCAGTGATCGGTGAAATTCAAAATACGATTTAAATACAAAATTGTAATTTTGTTTTAAGATGGATATATAAAAAGGCAGATTGGGAAAAGTTTCAAATGTTATGTGAAGAACAATTTGAAAAACTGTCAGTGATGATAGGTATGGTAAAGTAGTGAATGCCGTTTATTTAGCAGTATCACGATCACGCTAGTAAGTGGTACAAGTAAAAGAAAGAATGTACCTTAGTGGTCAGAGGAATGCCCGAAAGCAATTAGAGAAATGAATAAATCATTTAAATTTTTAAAAAGAACACTCACCCCAGAAGCAGTCATAGATTATCAAAAGAAAAGAGCTTATGTTAAAAAGGTTATTAAAAATACGAAGAAGACAGCATGGCAAAGCTTCTGTAATACAATAGGGAGGGAAACCGAAATAAATGCAGTCTGGCGTATGATAAAGAAGATGAATGGAATTGATAGCTTCAGAAAGATACCTGCAATTGAGGAAGGTGGGACGGTAGCCAAAATAAAGATAAGGTCATGTTGGCTCAATCATTTACTAAAGCTCATAGCATTGAAAACTTAGATGATGCATTCTTAAGACGACAACAAATTATGAGTATATATGGAAATACTTGCAAGAAAAAGCAAGATTTTAATAGTATTTTGGATGAGTTTAATTATGTTGAATTAAAATCAGCTATTAATAATTCAAAGAATACAACACCAGGTAAATATATGTTATAACATTTTAAAGAAACTACCAGCTAAAGCATTAGAAGCGTTATTGGAATTGTATAATTATAAATGGAATGAGGGTATCCTTCCTAAGCAATGGAAGACTGCAATTGTGCTTCCTCTCTAGCTAAGCCTGCATGGGAAAGACATAACAAAACCTAGTAGTTATAGACCCATAACACTTACCTCTACGCTATGTAAAGTCATGGAAAAATTATTGTGAGTTGACTGAATTACATTTTGGAGAAAAGGGAAATGTTATCAACTTTTCAAAGTGGATTTAGGAAAAGTAGATATACAGTAGATGCTTTGATACTATTTGAAAATTAAGTTTAAAAAGCTTATATAATGAAATAATACATGTTTACAGTATTCTTTGACATAGAAAATGCTTATGACACTTTGTGGAGGGAAGGTTTGCTAATTAAACTGAATAAATTAGGTGGGAAATTTTATAACTAGGTTTTAGACTTTCTATTTGAATGTACCGTTCAGGTTAAAATTAGAGAAGAAATATCAGATCCTTATGACATTCTAAATGGAACTCCACAGGGTAGTGCAATTAGCCCAATATTGTTTAATTTAATGACTGATGTTTTTGATAAAAAAAAAATAGAAAAACAGGAATAGGATTAGCACTTTATGCAGATGATGGAGCATTATGGAAGAGAGGACGCAATATTAAAAATGTAGTTAACGGTATGCATGAGTCAATTAAAAAAGTGGAGGAGTGGTCCTTGGACTGGGGTTTAAAATTTTCAGTTTCGAAACTAAATATATGTTATTCACTTAGAACAAGAAGATTGAGCATTTAGATTTGAAGTTGTATGATCAAACATTGGAAAGAGTACCTGTTTTTAAAATACCTTGGTTTATGGTTTGATGAAAAATTAACATGCATATATGTAAAATTGAATGAAAATGTAGAATGATCATAAATTGCATGAGTACGGTTGCTAGTCACAATTGGGGAGCTAGTCGTAGTGCATTGTTGTGTATGTATCAAGCATTGATTCGTTATTGCTTTGACTATTGATGCATTGTATATGGCTCAGCAACCGAATCTTTACTGAAAAAATTAGATATCAATCCAGAGTATTAAGAATATGTTGTGGAGCAATTAAAACATCCCCTGTAGATGCAAGTGGGGTAAATGGGTGAGATGCCTGTTGAACTTAGAAGGATAAAATTGACAATGACGTATTGGGTGAAACTTCAACAATCGGTAAGTACTCATATCACTCGTAAAGTACTGGAGGAGTGCTGGGAATATTTGTATGATGGAGGATGTAGTTTTGGAGGGAAGAGTAGAATATGGGCCAAGGAGTATGGCAAGGATAATAAGATATTCTGTCCTAATGTACCACTCACTGATGCCCCAATATGGAGAGTCCCTGAACCACTTGTAGATTTGAGCTTACTAGACAAGCCCAAAAGTGAATGCATTGGAAAGGAGGTTAATGCTATTCTAAATAATAAATGTTATTCAACATTACAAATGTTTATGGATGGATCTAAGGAACCTGTTAGTCAAAAGGTTGGAAAGAGAGTATATATTCCAAAATTTAAAGTACGAATTAGTTTGAAATTGCCAGATGATTTATCAGTATACACTGCAGAGTTAACAGCTATAATAATAGGACTACAGGGTTGAAGAAGTCAGACCAAATAAAGTGGTAATATGTTCAGATTCTTCTTCAGCTTTAATTAGTATAGCACAGCCGAGATCAGACAGAGACGATTTATTAATGGAAGTGTATCTATCTTTATACAGATTGAAAGAGGCTGGAATAATGGTAGCCTATATTTTTGTTGGGTGCACATGGTGGGGTATCTGGTAATGAAGTTGCTGATAAACTAGCAAAAAAGCACTAGACAAGATGGAGGTGGATGTTAAAGTGTCTATGGGGAAAAAGGAGGCAAAGTCCATTTTAAAGTTAAAAAATGTAGAATGATCATAAATTGCATGAGTACGGTTGCTAGTCACAATTGGGGAGCTAGTCGTAGTGCATTGTTGTGTATGTATCAAGCATTGATTCGTTATTGCTTTGACTATTGATGCATTGTATATGGCTCAGCAACCGAATCTTTACTGAAAAAATTAGATATCAATCCAGAGTATTAAGAATATGTTGTGGAGCAATTAAAACATCCCCTGTAGATGCAAGTGGGGTAAATGGGTGAGATGCCTGTTGAACTTAGAAGGATAAAATTGACAATGACGTATTGGGTGAAACTTCAACAATCGGTAAGTACTCATATCACTCGTAAAGTACTGGAGGAGTGCTGGGAATATTTGTATGATGGAGGATGTAGTTTTGGAGGGAAGAGTAGAATATGGGCCAAGGAGTATGGCAAGGATAATAAGATATTCTGTCCTAATGTACCACTCACTGATGCCCCAATATGGAGAGTCCCTGAACCACTTGTAGATTTGAGCTTACTAGACAAGCCCAAAAGTGAATGCATTGGAAAGGAGGTTAATGCTATTCTAAATAATAAATGTTATTCAACATTACAAATGTTTATGGATGGATCTAAGGAACCTGTTAGTCAAAAGGTTGGAAAGAGAGTATATATTCCAAAATTTAAAGTACGAATTAGTTTGAAATTGCCAGATGATTTATCAGTATACACTGCAGAGTTAACAGCTATAATAATAGGACTACAGGGTTGAAGAAGTCAGACCAAATAAAGTGGTAATATGTTCAGATTCTTCTTCAGCTTTAATTAGTATAGCACAGCCGAGATCAGACAGAGACGATTTATTAATGGAAGTGTATCTATCTTTATACAGATTGAAAGAGGCTGGAATAATGGTAGCCTATATTTTTGTTGGGTGCACATGGTGGGGTATCTGGTAATGAAGTTGCTGATAAACTAGCAAAAAAGCACTAGACAAGATGGAGGTGGATGTTAAAGTGTCTATGGGGAAAAAGGAGGCAAAGTCCATTTTAAAGTTAAAAAAGTTAATGAATAAATGAAAAATTAGATGGGATAATAGCAGCACAGGGAGATAGTGTTATAATATAACGCAGACAGTAGGGAGGATAAATTGTCAGGGAAGAAATAGGAAAGAAGAGGTGTGGCTGTCTAGATTAAGTCTGGGACATAGGCTACAGGGTTGAAATCAACACTGGCACTTTTGGGTTTACATGTTTACATGGGTTATGCAATGTATGTGGTGTATCTGAAAATGTGTATCATGTACTTTTTAGGTATGGTAGTGTATATCGTGACATATTATTTAATCTCTTTGGGGAGGAAAGAATGACACATAAAGAGCACCAATTAAATACATATATATGACTCAGGTTTAGGATTTAGATTATAATATGTGTGGTGGAGTATTCTACCTAATCTGGGGCATGAAGAGCTAATGCTGAACATGCAGCGCTGACATGAGCATGTGATCTGAGTGAGTGCTCCATAGATTGGAGAGAATATGAAACATCCAATTTTTTCTTTTTTTACTTTCTCAATCCTATCTCTTGTCAAATTTCAGACTCATCGCCAATGTAAATTTGCTTGACTTCCAGTACAGTAGGTGGCGATAAGATTATTCGCTGTTAAACAAGAAGAAGAAGAAGAAGAAGAAGAAGAAGACTTGTCTTATGAAACGCAACATCCGTCGACGGAAGCGCAGACCAGCGGCGAGCTGCAGACAGAGGCTGTGCATTTTTCACCAGCGTGTGTTCTTGTTAAATTGACAAAACGTCTTACGCAATGAGGTATCAATTGTTTTATTCTTCTTTAAATAAAATAACATGTGCTTGATTAAGTTAAATACCGTGGTTCATCAAGCCGTAGCAATTTTTTGTTTATTTTTGTTGGTTGAAAGCTAGCCCGGTGCCTGTTAGCATGTTGTTTTGCTATCCGCAGTGCTTTTGACGAATAAAAGAAATACAATGTATTTATTATTGAAGTGCATGCTTTAAAACTGATTAAACGACGCGTTTGGATTTAATCTTTATTTAGTATTTTTAAACGCTATATATCCGAAAAACGAGACTGTTCATTCATAAATAAATGAATGAATGAATGAACGAACGAAGAACCGAGCATTAACATGAACAATGATGCTCGTTTCACCACCTGTGGTTTTCTCATCGGTTATTTTTTGTTTGGCTCGTAAATTAATCTTAGACAAACATTTTGAGATTTTTTTCCCCCCGCATATTTTATGTTTTCCTTTTTAATTTGCTAAAATTATTGCTTTTTTTCCGCAGAGGAGATCGTGGCAGGGGCCGAGGTGGCCGGTTCGGCTCCCGCGGAGGTTTGGTCCAGGGGTGCGTTGTTTATTATGCATATGCTTGTTTTTTTATTTAATTGGCTTACTTTCATTTCTTCATTTTGACTTGATATTGCCTATGCCTTCTGTTCTCTCAGGTATCGGCCCTTTGTCCCTCACATACCATTTGACTTCTATGTTGTAAGTACAGTTCTACACAGTGATTCTTTGCTTTGTGAAACAATAAGCCTCCAGCTCATAAATCTCTTCTTGCAGTGTGAGATGGCCTTTCCTCGAGTGAAGCCAGCCCCTGATGAGACCGCTTTCAGTGAATGTCTGCTGAAGAGAAACCAAGACCTCTCTCCTAACCCTACTGAACAGGTACATTGATTTTTCATTAAAGGGGTAATTTGATACTGCTAAATAGAACATTATTTGGTGTAATGAAATGTTTATGCGGTTTAAGGTTAAAAAAACAAATTTTCCACATACTGTACATTATTGATTCTCCTCTATGCCCCACCTTTCTGAAACGTGTCGCTTTTTACAAAGCTCATCGGTCTGAAAGGCGAGGTGTGCTCTGATTGGCCAGCTATCCAGTGCGTTGTGATTGGCCGAATACCTCAAGCGTGTGACGGAAATGTTACGCCCCTCACCATACTGTGATGCCCTGTCCGGCCGGAGCGACGAGACAAAAACATTAAAACCCATTATAAACGAACGAGGCATTTGTTGCATCCAGTGGGGACATAATTACGGATTATAATGACTTGTACTGTCTTTTTACGCATTGCATCGCACCGCGTAAACATAAAACCATGTCTGCATTTGTGATCGGAGAAATGACAAACAAGTGCTACTCTACACTCCTCAAACTCGTCAGTGGCAAATTCTTTAAATATAAAAAACTTACTTGCAGTCTGAGTCAGAACAGCCAGCATTGTAGTCTACTCTACCAGGATCAGGAAACAGTCCTCCATAAAATGCACTGCACACATCTTAATATTTGGGTTAAACTGTTCTGGAACAGTGTTGTAAATACAACTTAACCACTGATTTCTAGTCGTGTCCTCTTTTGGAAGGCCAAACACCGTAGTTTCGCTTTCATAATGAAACGGCGTCACGCACGCAGCCTTGAGTGAGCGGAGGCCTAGAGTGAGCAGTGGCCTAGAGTATCTGGAGGCCGCCATGAGTGGGCTTGAGAACGGTGTGGATTCGACGGAGCATCCGGCGGGCTTGCGGCAACCACATGTGACGACCCTGGGCTGGACTCCGCTTCGTCCACGGTGAAAGCCCATCCGGCGATCGACAGCGCGAAGTTGATCTATTTCCTCAGGATATCATCCTCTTTTGGAAGGCCAACCAAAGTAGTTTTGCCTTCACAACGAAACGCAGCACCTTCACGACATGGCGCCGGCGGCAACAATACTACAGCGAGAATAAAAGTTACGCCTTCTTTCTTTGCATGAACATTTGGGCGGCATTATGCAAATCATCCCTCACAGTGATGTAGATATGTGGGGCGTGTTAGAACGAGCCGTTTTAGGTAGGCGTGGTTGACTCTTTAACTTTTATAAAGAATATCTATTTTGATTTGAGACTTTAGTCTTTGCATCTTTACAGATCTTCTTTATGCACCAAGAGCTTGTATCACTTCAGAGAGAAAGGAAAAATTGAAATCGCATCATATGACCCCTTTAAGATAAATGCTGCCAAAACACTCAAATGAGCCTTGTCCATTTAGGTTAAGCCATATATCAGCAGATAGCACCTCATCACCCTCCATATTAACACTTCAGTCTTAAAATGTGTTGGGGGTATCTCAGTTATTAGTTTAATAATTCTGTTCTTGTTATTTATTTCTCTCTCAGGCTTCCATTTTGTCCTTGGTCACTAAGATTAACAACGTCATTGACAACCTAATTGTGGCACCTGGAAACTTTGAAGTGGTGAGAAGACTAAGTATTTTATTTTCTTTTTTTCTTTTGTAATGCTAATCAATGTCTAACAATTCCCAGCAAATTGAGGAAGTAAGGCAAGTGGGCTCGTATAAAAAGGGTACCATGACAGCTGGACACAATGTAGCCGACCTCGTGGTTATCCTGAAGATCTTACCCACCTGTGAGTCTCATTATTTCATGAATTGTGATGTTCTGTTTAACTGTCTTAATATGTTAATCACTAGCCCATGTATGCTGCTTTTATTGATAATCCTATTATTTTTTTGTTTGTTCAGTGGAAGCTGTCGCTGCCTTGGGAAACAAAGTAGTTGAGACCCTGCGTACACAGGACCCTTCTGAGGGTGAGTATGGGTTTTAATCTGGCAAGCCAATCAGAGCATAGAAGACAAAATAATTTGTAATCAAAATAGTGAAGAAAAAAAAAATCTATATTCTCAACTAAATATTTTCCCCTGTTCTCTTCAGTACTGTCCATGCTGACCAACGAGACAGGATTTGAGATCAGCTCTGCTGATGCCACTGTGAAAATTCTCATCACCACGGTTCCACCCAACCTGCGCAAACTGGACCCAGAGCTCCACCGTATGTTACACACTCAAACACTTCACATGTATTCTTACAAATGAGCTTTTCTTACTAGGGATGTACCAGGTATCTGTACCATGCTGCTCTTTTCTTTTTCATTCTGGTCAATATTGGAAATGTAATTGTACACACTGATTTAGCCTATTTTGACATTTGCTATCATCTAATGTTCATTAACACAAATATAATCTTCAGCAAACTTAATATAAATAAGCACTAATGTTGTGATGCTTAAATTCACTTGTCATTTAAAATGGTTGTTTAGCAATTTATTTATTTAGTCCAGATCAGGTTGACCAGAATTATAAAGTTATTGTACACACTGATTTAGCCTATTTTGACATTTGCTATCATCTAATGTTCATTAACACAAATATAATCTTCAGCAAACTTAATATAAATAACCTTTTTTTTCAAACTTTGCACTAATGTTGTGATGCTTAAATTCACTTGTCATTTAAAATGGTTGTTTAGCAATTTATTTATTTAGTCCAGATCAGGTTGACCAGAATTATAAAGTTTAAAAAAAAAATTCTCTTCCTTTTGCAGTGGACATCAAGGTTCTGCAAAGTGCTCTGGCAGCCATTCGTCACGCTCGCTGGTTTGAGGAGAACGCTTCTCAGTCAACGTAAGTAACTTTCTCTTAATGGCTTTAATGAATCTAATGTGTTTTGTAGCTTACTTTGGTTTCCATCTTCTCTTAGTGTGAAAGTTTTGATCCGCTTGCTGAAAGACCTGCGAGTCCGATTTCCTGGATTTGAGCCTCTCACACCCTGGATTCTAGATCTGCTGGTGAGCACTGTTGTCAGTCTTAACTTTTTTTTAACCATATCTGCACTACACCAGCTGACTTCCCTGTAATTTTGCTCTCTTCATAGGGACACTCTGCTGTGATGAACAACCCGTCTAGGCAGCCCTTGCAACTCAATGTTGCTTACAGGTAAGGTGGTACTGTCTGTTTGTTTTGCTTGTGATAATGGGCATCACCCTTTGTGGGTTTTGAGGTATAATGAGCGTGTGTGTTGCAGGCGCTGTCTTCAGATGCTCGCCGCAGGTCTTTTCCTGCCAGGCTCTGTAGGAATCACTGATCCGTGTGAAAGCGGAAACTTCCGTGTGCACACAGTCATGACCCTGGAGCAGCAGGTAATGCAGGTTTCAGTCAGCGGGTAATTTAGTGTTAAAAATACAGGTAATCTAATTGATTTGTTTCTGCAGGACATGGTGTGTTTCACAGCCCAAACACTGGTGAGGGTTCTCTCTCATGGAGGATACAGAAAAATATTGGGCCTTGAAGGAGATGCTAGTTGTAAGTGTTTGAGGTTTATTCCAGATTAAATTGATTTGTGTGGTTGCATTAGAGTGTCAGTGTCGCTGAGGCTGATGCTTGTGATGCCTATCTGTAGATCTCACCACTGAGATGTCTACATGGGATGGAGTGATTGTCACCCCATCTGAAAAAGCTTATGAGAAGCCCCCAGAGCGCAAGGAAGAGGAGGATGAAGCACTGGAGGAAGGTGGAGAGGGAGAAGATGAAAGCATGGAGACCCAAGAGTAATGCAATGGCCTCTGACAAAGTTTTGGCTTGGTCATTTGTATTTATGTTGGTTTTTAATAGAGATCGGTGTCTCATAAGTTTTACCCAGATGTTCCCTGCATGTCTACATTTGGTTTCTGTACATCAGTCTGCACCTCCTAGAGTTAAAGCCATGGTAGTAAACAGCAAAGAGCTCTAACAAGGACCAAAAGGCAATGGCTTCTCATCTAAGCTCATTCTGATACGGTTACGTCTAGGAAAATCACTTTATTTGGTTTAGTTTTTAAAAAAAATTTTGGTTTGTATTTTTATCAATGATGGATCAAGTAAAGTTTTTATTTCCTCCTTTGTACTATGTCTATGCATTCGTTTTTTTTTAAAGTGACACTTCTTTTAATATTGCTTGGGCATTTTTAGGTTGTACACAGTCCTTTTATTGTGTTGATTGATGATCTTGGACAAGTACTTTAACGGATAATTTACCCAAAATTGAAAATGAGGTTTTTCTTGTCAAACCTGTGTGGTTGAGCTTTACCACATTCAAAAATAAGAGACTAGAAACAATATCTTCGTGTAGTAAAGATAAATGGGAGTTTTATGTGTGTGGAATGATGTGACAGTGAGTAAATGACTTACATTTTTTGGGTACAGTACCTCACAAACAGTTGCCATCTGAATATGCTTTTTTTTCAGACAAATAGCAGCATAACTAGTATGGAGTTGCTTTTACACAAATTTACCAGTTGCCTTTATCTGTACTAATGAGATATGTCCAGGTGCTGATCAACAGCATGACCGCAGTTTCAGGACCAGGCCAGAAGTCTGTTCGGAATTTAGGGCAAAGCTGATGATCACCTAACCTGCCCCCACCACTAACCTTAACTTCACTACAAGTATAACAGAAGCACCACCCTAGAGAATGCCCATCCACACCTTACCACTAACCTCAGTAAGGCTATAATCCCCATTCTGGTCTGAAACTGCTGTCACGGATACTATGGAACCCATGACAATGGTTCCAAGCATTGTCAAGAAAAAGTGCAACAAGCAGCAACGTTAGTGACATTTTTGAATGAATCAGAGTTTTCAATAAATTGGTTGATTAGTTCAATGTCTCGCTCGCAACCAGATGTGTCCTCTAAAGGGCCGTCCACACAGGACTATGACTATAAGTGTTAGTCGTTTTAATCCATCGAGAATAGGGAAATCAACACCACAGCCGTAATGATGACACGGGAACGATGTCGTAGCTGCATCCGAATAAACTTCCATACTATTTAGTAGGCGAAAAATATGTGACACTGTATGTCTGGATTTACAGTTGTCATAAAACAGAAGCCAAAAGTACCAGGATGACCCGACTGCCGCTATCATTCTGTGTTTTATTTTTTAAGTCATGAAAACACTCGGAGTTTTTCTTTTGCGGACTAAAATGGCGACTTCATGACGCCGACGCTGATTAGCGCGGGCTTAAAATAAACCGACCCTCAATTTAAGTTGGTGTGGACGGTAGTTTTTCTTCCCTGCTTCAAACGGAACTTAACGGAGGCTTCTTCTTATGTGAGTACGTTTTAAACAGACTTTTCAAAAGATTATGAAAGCAACTTTAATAAAAAATAGTGCATTTTTAAAATGGATAAGTTCTTGTGAAATGTCATGAGGAAAATAACGACACTAAGTGGACAGCGGTTATTTTACCTTGCTAAAATAGCTTTATAGTAATTTTTAGAAAATGTTTACAACCGTTGACAATATTACATTCTGTGTTTTAGGTTTACCACATCACAGTGTGCCATCTCTGATTTAATGCTAGTAGACATGGAGCTGTACATCTCGGTGACCAAAAAAAAAAAAAAAAACCCACGATCCATGTATGTTATTTCAGCTGTGCCATTGTTCATCGTAAGGCCTTCACCCTTTAGCCGCAACACATGGTAAGAGATTCAGATTTATTTCAAATCTGGAAATAATATTTTGAAAAAGGTGGTTGTAAGCTATTGTAGTTTGGTAAAACAATGTAAAAAGCATAGATACAAAATGAAGTTATTTTACCTTGGCACTGTATCAAACAAATATATGATTAAAAAAAAAGAATAACCATAAATAGTGATCACATTAATAACCAATTTTTCCACAATGTTCTTATAATGCAGTGTTATGAGCAACTTAATGAACAATTAAAAAGAGAACAAAATTGTTTTGCTACATCACAAACTGGCCAAACATTTATTTATATATATATATATATATATATATATATATATATATATATATATATTCTTTTTTTTTCGTTAAGAATGGGGAATACTCATTCTTCAGACCTACATGTTCATTTGACATTGTCTGTAATCTTGCAAGCAACTGCTAGAAGAGATGGGCCTAACATTAGCTGTTATTTTTCAAGTTGTCTCATCTTCGACGGGGCTATTTTCTACATTAGCAGCAAATACAAACAATAGAATAAAATCTAAATCGGGTGGCTCACATGAACACCCTGGAGAATACAGAATATATTTTCTCATAGTCATAATTGCAATAACATTTTTCATTATATATGAAATTATTAATAATACCAATAATAATCAACAATCCATTGAATATTAATAATAACAACTTCAATTGCAACAGATATATTTACTGTACATAATACAACGGAACGTGAGAAGTTATTTGTAATTACACAGTAATTGTTTGTAAGTCTATGACCCATGTAATTTTTAGTGATCTGTAATGCGTTATAGAATTCAACGTAACGTCTACGTCACACTGCTACAAGCTCCTCTGTGCTACGAAGAAATATTCATCACTTTCTCTAGCTAAATCTGTTTACGGCATATACAGAGGCTTCGCCAACACTTTTTAGACTCGTTTTTCAGCTTAAAGGAGCAATGGCAGAGTTTCAGCCGTCCATTCTGACCTATTAAGACACCAGATGTCTAAAGAACCGACAATCAGCATACCATTGGGTCATGTGTTGACATGGGAAGCTTGACATGATGTTGCGAGAGACACATCCATTAAATATTGTATTTGACTACGTTCCATCAATCCATTTACATTGGAAAACGTTGGTTAGAATAGAAAGGCCATCAAAATAGTCTTTCTGAGCAGTCCGTTTGAGAGTCAGATTGATTCCTGTCAGTGCCTGAGTAGGCAAACAACTTGCAAAGGGGAAAGTGTGGTCAGTCTTGCTTGAAATTATGTTTTGTTGGTATATGAAAAACATATGGCCCTGATAAGAGATCATCCTATTTCTCGCACTGGAAACCCCAACGGCATGTTGTACATAGTCTTTCAGTGTTTTGAGAAGGCAGGAAGTCCTTCACAGTGGAAGAGGAAATAGTCTGTTGTGCTTTTCTGTCATCTTAGATTTGCTGCGTCCAAAAAATGTGTAAGTTAACTGATTACAACCGTTTTAAAGCTTTAAAAAAATGTGTTCATAAAATGATGGATATTTTATCCATAAAGTATTCGTAAAATAAATAAATAATATATAAATAAATACAGAAATAAAAAGAGATGATAGGCAACAGTAAATGAAAAAAGTACAAATGTCTAAAAAAAAAAACTGTTGGACAAATTAATTGATTTAAAACAACTCAAACAAGTTTAGATGCAGAAATGTAGGTGTAGTTATTATAAATAATTAGATAAATACTCCTGCCCTTTTTTACAGACAGTGAATAAAGATCTACAATTTTGATAGAAGAGTTTGTTCATTATTTTCATGGATTAATAAAAGCATGCAGGTTACATAGAAACATCCAGTGTGAGGTGGTTATTAGCTGGATAGTGTAACAAATCAAGTTATTAGAACAATACATATTGTGTGAGTTATATACTGTATTTCGTATTGAATATAATACTGAATAGTTAGATTTTTTTTTAAAAGCCACACATAGTGCTGTTAGGCACGTGTAGATAGTCAAGACAGAAAACAGATTATATTTTTGCCCATGGACAACATGGCAAGTAGCTGTCAACCATCTATTCTTCTTATGTCAAAAGTCTTTAGCCAGTCTGTTTCGAGGTTGACAAAAGAAATAAGAGGAAAACAACACGATTCTGCTGAAGTTTGTAGCGGTGAGTTGCCCACTTTTTTAAAGTCCACAGAGCTGTCACATCCCTACCTTGTAAATTCTTAGACACGTTCATAACGTATTTTAACATCACTTTTGACAACATATGTCTATCTGCTAATCTAAAAATGTACTTTATAAAATATACATCTCCCAATAAAATATTTTCCATTACCTTTTCCATAGTTAAATAATAAAAAAAAAAGTTCAGATCATTCATGCAATCAGCATTTTTCTAAAAAAAGAAAGAAAGAAAAAAAGGAAAGTAATAGATGGAATTTGCAATAATTACTGTGTGATCTTGTTTCCAGTTTGCTTTTACCCATTTGAGAGGTTAAAATGCACACAAACACATAATCCATTCTTCCTAAACTTCCTTTTCTGTCATAAACACACAAAACTTCACCACCTAAACTAACACAGCATTTTTTATAAATAATCCACAAATTAACATTTGGTGTGAAGTGGAAAGATTATTTTTGTTCTATAAAAGCCGCAATAAATTAAAGCACTCAAGCAAGATGTAGAAGCTACATTGATTTCATGTTAGAGGGTTTTCATCGGTTACAAAAAAAGGGGAGGGGGGGGTGAAATGAACAAGATGCTTCCCCTCCTCTCTGAAAGATAATTTTTCAGTGTGCAGATCATGTGTGAAATTGAAGATTGTCTTCTGCACCCCTGTTTCTGAAGAGTCTTATGATACAGACCGTCCTATTTCAGGAAACATGGCTGTTGCCTCAGAGCTTGAATGTTTCTGTTGTGTTTTTTTCTCATCTTTTTTAAGATTAAGATTTTTAAGACACGTGTCTTCACACTGGGCTGATAAGAAGCCTGACTGCAATTGCAAAGTGATATTGCACTTATACGGGAGATGAATCCCTGTGGTAATTTGATAACTGGCTTCAAAAAGGCATTTATCTACACTGCAAAAGTTGCTTTCAGTTTTATTACTGCACTCCCAAATTTACATCAGGGTGCATTGCTCTACTCTGGCCACAAGAGTGCGCTTGTGTCACAGTGAAAGGGGCTACGTCCGCCACACTGTGGGATCAATTAAGAAACACATACAAAGCCAAGATTATATCAAAACAAGGTCTATTATTTAAAATAACAAGATAAGATCCTCTTAATATATGATATTGCACCCGTATGTGTTGGCGTGGTTCATTAAAACAGTCCTAACATTTTTATATGTTTTGTGGACTTACAAAAGTCTCAATCTTGGAACACTTTGTTGTGCTGGTTGAGCCCTTTTTCTGAGAATAATAACACTTGCTCAACAAAAAATGAAAATAAAATGTGTAAGCTCACATCCAAACACCAGCAGCATACTAGTAAGCCATCTCAAGTTCTCCATCACACTAAAGTGAGTAATTGCACTCGCTCTCTGGCTGCTTTGTAACATGGACGTCTGTGCAGAGGGCCAGAGAAGAGCCGTAGTGGTTGTTTAAGGTGGTCCGAGCGACTCAGAGTCTCGTCTGAGCCTCTGTGATGTAGATCTCGATGCTGTCAGCGCTCTCCGTGGCAGAATTCTGACGGAAAGAGGCTGAGCGTTTGGTCTGGAGCAGCCTGCGCCGTGTGTCCAGCTTTTGCCGGTCACTCACGTCCAGCGATTTCTCCCGTTCGGGAACGCTGCGTCCTCGCGAGACCACTAGCATGCCTCCGGCCTCGGTTGCACTGTCGGCACGCAGGCTGCCCGTCACGCCACCGACTGGCTTCTTTGGTAATGGAGGTGGAACCTTCTTGTCCTCCTGAGAGGAAGAGCAGGGGAGTGGCGTGACAGCATGGATGACCAATGCAGGGATGGACAGGAACGCAGGGAAAGACACCGAAAACGCACACGTACAAGCAGAGGATATGCCAGAGAGGATGAAGACCAGGATATGTACAGAGAAGGGACAGCACCATGAAGTTGCAACAAGAATGATTTGGATTAGCGTATTTAGGATGAGACATGACATTGTGGAAGCAGCAGACAGTAAAAAGAAAGAAAACAGAGAAATTAGTTACAGATTTGTTAGGCTTTAATATCTCAAAGCAAATAAACAGCTGTTAGGCAGTAAATCAGATGTTATTCCAGAACATGCATGTCTTTTTTTCTGTAGTTTAGTTCCTTTTCTTGCTGAGGTGTTTGTGTGTTGGAAAAGAGCTGCTGGGGCCTAGCACATGGGCGGTTCTCCTGCCTGCTGCTGCTTTGGCACTGGAGTGAAGCTGTGCAGTGACTTGAGCAGAGCGAAACTCCACTCTCACCTTCTTCTCAGGAGGTAATCTCCAGCCCGAGTCCTTCAGCCGCTGGAGGTCCTGAAACTTCACCCTGATGTCCTCGATGGCTAGCTGGAGGAGGTCCCAATAACTGGCCAGATCCTGAGTGCTGGGCTGAGGGTATGATGAAGGATCCTATGAGAAGAAGGGGGATATTATAGAGCGCTGCAGGGATGGCATATTTTGAAAACGAGTTAGAATTTAAGCACTTTCAGTTCCATTTTCCCGAAATTTTCCCATTTTTTTTGAATGGGCTTAATGGGGTTAAAAGCCTGAAATAAGGTCTGTGGTAAACACAAGCCTAAGATATTGTACATTTTATTCTATGACATAAAATACATAATGTTATTTAGTAGTAATGTAACGTTGTTGTTATTTTTACATTTTTACTTGAAAAAGGGCAGTTGCTAAGTGACTAAATGGGACTACACTAGTGAAAAAAAACAGCATATGCTGGTTAGGTTTGTTTGGAAGCATGTCAGCTGGTTATGAGCTGGTCCTTTTTAAACCATTTTAAACCAGCCCATACCAGCTTCCATTCTTCAAAACATATCTAACCAGCATATGCTGTATTTTTTCAACAGGGTATGTCATCACGCTAAACAGGTAAGCTCATGTTCTCACTTGTCCACTTTTACAGCCACATTGTGTTTATAATCATGCTCTTGCAAACTAGCTAAACTAAAACTTTCAGGGTTGTTGGAAGCTTAATGGTGGTGACACTGAAGTCATGTGACCATGGTGTAGTTCATTTATAGTCTAGTTTTAGCTTTTTACTTCTGGAGATTGTATTTAGACTTCCAAATTCATTAAAGTTGTGTTGATTTGTAAAGATTATCATGATCAGCAAAACATGTATGAATCATCAATTTTTCTTAGTAGCAGAACTTTTTTTTTTTAATAATTCAAAAGCCAGTGGAAAAATCTTATACAATACAGTTGAAAACTTATATGTATATTATATGTAATTTTACAATAAAATACAGTCAAATTTATGCCTAAGCCTAAGGCACACCGGTGCAATAATCATGCTGTCTAATCAGCATCTTTATATGGTGGATGGATTATCTCGGCAAAGGAGAAGTGCTCACTAACACAGATTTAGACAGATTTGTGAACAATATTTGAGAGAAATAGGCCTTTTGTGTACATAGAGAGTTCAGCTCATGAAAAATGGGGGCAAAAACAAAAGTGTTGCGTTTATAATTTTGTTCAGTGTAGTTATCCTCCTCACCTGTCTGCCCCTCGTTATCTTGTCAGCGTACTGTGACAACTTGAAGATAGTAAAGGTAGGTAAAGTTATTCTATTTACAAATTAAGTTATTTATCTGTCCTTTTATTTTTTTGTTCTTTCCAATGTATAGATTTATTTTAGTCATATTTGTCTCATTTATTATATAGTATTGTATTTATATTGTATTTATCACATTATTGTACTATACAGTTTATACAGATTCTAAAAAAGTTAAGGACATCCTCCTTTTTATCCACAACCGAAAGAGTTTCAAAACACTCACCACACTCTGTTGGCACATCCTGAAGAACTGCTGGACTCTTTGTGACATGAGCATCTGAGCACTGCCGACAGCTCCTCTGATGAGCTCCAACACTGAACCACAAAACAAACCAATCAGAAGGAAAAAAACAGCGTTTAGACAGAAGGAACTGTTCTTTGGGCAAAACACTACAGATTCAAGACCCCATGAAATCAATGAAGACTCATTTTGGGCCTTTTAGCCCATGTCACATTTACCACAACTATTCCTCACTCACTCTCTTCTGGCAGTTCATTCGACTCTGCCTCTCTTTCCATGTTCTGGCACCATCCCTCCATCCTCTCCACTTCTGTCTGCAGGAGCCGGAGGAAGAACTCTCCATCTCGTAAGCAGGGCGAGGCTCGGCCCGAATCAGGGAGGCTCCTCGGGCCCTCGCTCCAGCCTCCCACTCCACGCTCAGGAGCCAGGGGCAGAGGGGAGTGGGAGCGGTGCAGGGCCCTGAGTTCTGGAGGGCCAGGCTCGTTGGTGTAACCACTATGGTAATCCTCACGGTAGGCCCACTGGCCCTGTGTGTGCACTGTGCGATACTCTGCAAACTGACCGGCTGATTCTGGTTCAGACGAGTGGCGCTGGAATGAGCAGCCAAACTGCAGGCCCTTGTCTTGTGTGGGGACTGTCAGCCCACCAAAACCCTCCGTCTCAAGATCAGCCTGGACACTTGCTGTCACACTGTTGGAGCGTTTAAAACGGGCTCGTCTGGAACAAACAACAATAGGTCAATTTAGACTTAAGTGTAGTGGTAGAACGAAATATTGATGTATAGTAGGGATGTGCATCTCCATAACTGAGGCCGATGCGATACACATCTTGATGCATTGACAACGAAACAATACATTAAACATACATATGAAGCAGCTACCAATGCAATGTGATATGATTCACCCCTACTACGATGTAGTGCGATCCGATTTCAATTTGATTCATCACAATGCGATGCAATGGAAAAAATATGATGCTTGCAGTATGGTACAGGTAGTTTGCTTTTATTTCTTTTATTTTATTTCTTTCAGACAGACAGCATGTTAATTTATATTCTATGTGACTCTCAGGACATGCCTTGGTCTCTGTAGTGTTGTGATACGTCATATTCGCGTAGCAGCAGCAGGGCTCCAGACAAAAAAAAAATAAAGTAAGGAGCCATTGGCATTATCGTTAACAATTCTCGTTCATTGCTTCTTGTTATCAACTGTTTGAGGTTGTGGACGGGTGTCTTTTATACTGATAACGAGTTCAAACAGATGCCATTAATACAGGTAACGAGTGGAGGACAGAGGAGCCTCTTAAAGAAGAAGTTACAGGTCTGTGAGAGCCAGAAATCTTGCTTGTTTGTAGGTGACCAAATACTTATTTTACCGAGGAATTTACCAATTAATTCTTTAAAAATCCTACAATGTGATTTTCTGGATTTTTTTTCTCCTTTTGTCTCTCATAGTTGAGGTATACCTATGATGAAAATTACAGGCCTCTCTCATCTTTTTAAGTGGGAGAACTTGCACAATTGGTGGCTGACTAAATACTTTTTTGCCCCACTGTATATGCTGTGTTAAAGTGTGAACTTTATATTATTTGTAGCTCACTTACCCTCCAGTAACCTTTTAATAAACAAAGTGTCAGCTTTAAAATTATGCCAAATTCATAACGAAATTCAAACAATAAATACGGTTTTGTTGCTTTTTAATGCGGTATTTACGATCGCTTTAGCGCAGGGGTGCCCAAACTCGTTCCTGGAGGGCTGGTGTCCTGCAGAGTTTAGCTCCAACCCCAATTAGACACACATGAACCAGCTAGTCAAGCTCTTTCTAGGCATACTAGAAACTTCCTGGCAGGTGTGTTGAGGCAAGTTGGAGCTAAACTCTGCAGGACATCGGCCATCCAGGACCGAGTTTGGGCACCCCTGCTTTAGAGCCTCAGTTCAAATTCAACTGAACCCATCTTGAATTAGCTTGAAAAAGAGCTTGAAACACCACTGTGTGTTGCTCAGAGACTGTTCTGCTGTGATCTTTGTTTGGAACTATTTTCGTTAACCAAATAATTTTTTTTTTTTTAAATTGTAAAAATCAAATCTATGTTTATTCGTCTTGTCAAAATACTAAATTCATTTGACATTTTTTTGTTGACACGGTAGGAAAAGTGCCGCAGAGAAAAATAAATAAATACAACATCTTTCATTTAAAATTATAGGCTAAGAAAAATATAAACAAAACCAAGTTGAACGTCCTTCAAGGACAGCGCATCCACACTTTGCTCCATCCTTATTCTGCTCTGTCACTCATCGACAACTTGCCTGTTCTGTCTGAGGGCCGTATATTTACCACAGGTAGCCTACAGCCTGCTCTGAGCATCGTTATGCACATGCTGCGCACAGTCCACACAAATAAAATGCGTGACGTTTAAAGCATGCGAGCAGCGTGTGCATAACAGTCCTGAGCGCAAGCTGTACCGGTGGTCAGTAAGAATAAAGTGCAGATATGCTGTTCTAAATGGACGTCAGGAACGGGATATTGTGAGACCGCCCGCTCCTGTTCAAATTACACCAGAGTTACCGACCGCTACCGCTAAATGTACCAAGATGAAGATAAGTTTGTTTCTTCATCAGAACAAAATTTGAGAGATTTAGCATTTCATCACTTGCTCACAAGTGGATCCTCTGCAATGAATGGCTGTCCGCAAGTCCAGAAGTAATGTCTTGTGAAGTGAAAAGCTGCGTGTTTGTAAAATGCAATAATGACGCTTTTTTGCTTCAAACCTCTGCTTCTGGCTAAAATACAAGTCCTCTTGTGTATGATTTTGAACAGGTATTTTGGCCATAAGTGATGCTTTAAAATTAAAACAACTTAATAATGGTTTTTTTTCTTCTTAAAACACAGCTTTTCACTTCACAACACATTAATTGATGGAGTTGTGTTGTGTACATGTGGATTATGATTTTTTATATCAACTGTTGAGGATCCACTAATAATATTTTTTATCAACTGCAGAGGATCCACTAATAAAATGCTAAATTTTTCCAAATCTGTTCTGATGAAGAAACAAAATCATCTACATCTTGAATGGCCTGAGGATGAGTACATTTAAAGCAAATTTTAATTTGTAGGTGAACTGTTCCTTTAACTTGTACTGAAACTTTTAATGTCTCAATACCAAAAATACATAAAATATGACCCAAAAGACTCCAAACTAACAGTGATTCTGCTAAATCAAAAAAGAGGCTGACAAGGGTAATTAATGATCACAAGACAAAGCATATTAAGCTCATTCGTGGATGAGTGACATCATTTCACAGGTTTTGGCATATTGCGTAATGGCTGCTTAATTATACCCTCTCACCTCACTGTGTTCCTAGCACGTACACCCACTGTGTGTGCGCTTGCTTGCGTGAGTGTGAACCTTGCACCTGCACCTCTTGCTCATCTAACACTGACACATTCACACTTCACCCCACCTCAGAAATAAACCAACCACCCCTGACATCAGGAGAACAAATGCAAATATCAGAGAGATAATGAAAGAGCCCAAAAAAAGCTTTTAGTCCATGTCTGTAGCTTATAGTCCATATCTGTTAGATTGAATTAATCTAAGTTTGTGCACTGGTTCTCAACTGCTTAGACTTTACATTGGACATCAAGAAGTGTGCAAGTTTTGTAATTGTACAAAACAAAGATGTCCTTAAAATCAAACACTTAAATGTATTAATATTATCTTAAACTGCATAGTCCCAACAACATGTAAATTCTTTAACACGTTTCTTTACCAAAGATCTTGACAAAATTTAACACATTTTAATATATATAGGATATGAATTGTGAAGAACTTAAGGATTCTTTTAGTACTTGTAATAAATTCAATTAAGAAATACAATAACTTCACCAAATGATGAGAGCTTCAATAAAAAAGTTGCAATCAATTAACTGGACTTAATTTAATACTAAACAATAGTATAATGGTAAATGTATTGTATTATTATTTATAAAATACTACTGACAAAACCATTATGTGTATCTTTAACTACGCAATGTCATATACTGAACAAAATTATAAACGCAACACTTTTGTTTTTGCCCCCATTTTTCATGAGCTTAACTTTTTCTATGTACACAAAAGGCCTATTTCTCTCAAATATTGTTCACAAATCTGTCTAAATCTGTGTTAGTGAGCACTTCTCCTTTGCCGAGATAATCCATCCACCTCACAGGTGTGGCATATCAAGATGCTGATTAGACAGCATGATTATTGCACAGGTGTGCCTTAGGCTGGCCACAATAAAAGGCCACTCTAAAATGTGTAGTTTTACTGTATTGGGGGATCTGAGGGGGGGTCCTCAATCCACAACATTGACATCAGCAAACCGCTCACCCACACAACGTCATACACGCTGTCATCTGCCCTGTACAGTGAAAACCGGGATTCATCCGTGAAGAGAACACCTCTCCAAAGTGCCAGACGCCATCGAATGTGAGCATTTGCCCACTCAAGTCGGTTACGACGACAAACTGCAGTCAGCTCGAGACCCCGATGAGGACGACGAGCATGCAGATGAGCTTCCCTGAGACGGTTTCTGACAGTTTGTGCAGAAATTCTTTGGTTATGCAAACCTATTGTTGCAGCAGCAGTGGCTGGGCTCAGACGATCTTGGAGGTGAAGATACTGGGTGTGGAGGTCCTGGGCCAATAGGCCTTTTGTGTACATAGAAAAGTCTTAGATCAGTGAGTTCAGCTCATGAAAAATGGGGGCAAAAACAAAAGTGTTGCGTTTATAATTTTGTTCAGTGTATAATCAACCAGTGAGTAACTGCACTGGGGTGTGTTTCCCGTACAATGACGTAACTCACTGATAAACCACCATAGTATGATGAATTGTTGTGGAAACTAACTAGCCAGTCACGACTGTTTCCCGAACACGGTCGCATCTCCGTTGTTTGAACCACATTAGTTCAACAATTTATGCTGAGTTCACACTGCACGATTTTAGCCAGATTTTTCACTCGCCGACAGGTTTTGCGAAATCGCAGACAAATGCCCGAAATCGGAGGCAAATCGATGCTCATTCACGCGAGTGACAATCACACAGTGAGAATTATCAAAGACGAGATCTGAGGGAATCGCCGAGCCGACGCCTGTGAAATATTTGGCATGCTAAATGGTTGTAAATGTATCGGGTTACCATGAAACCAGGGTCTTGTTCGGCGTCCTGGGGTGTTACAAAGTATTTGTGAAATCTAGCTAACAAAATATATATTGTGTGTTGGAGTGGTCCAGATGCTACAGTAGTTTGCAGACCAGTGTTGCCAAATCCGCGATTGCCGCCGGCTGTTTTTTATGTCAGCAGGTTGAAGCGACCCCAATAACGTGATATTTAGACCCTGGAATGTGAATTGTACCAGGAGAACCCCGCCAAAAAAAGGTGTATTTTACCCCCCGAACGCGATTTTTACTGGGAGACCCCCTCGAAAGCAATTGGGCTATTTTCAGGCTAGTTTTGAGTAGTAATTGGGTGAGTTTTGTAGTGAAAACCTTGCAACCCTGCACCAGACAGAGCTGTCGGCAATTCTTCCTATTGTAAAGTCATGCAGTGTGTAACCTCCTGTCGTCGTTCCATCGTGCAGTGTGAACACAGCAACAACTGAATGCTACCCCAGATAGTCGTTCAGTGTGAAACCAACAGTGATGCGACGTCTTTGAAAATCGTGCAGTGTGAACTCAGCATTAGGGCCGTTGTTAATGGCGTCACACGCATGTGGTGGAGTAATAACTTCTGCTAATTAATTGATTAAAGATTTCTGAGATGCAGCTGTATTGAACATGGCCCCTGATTACTAATTTACTATATTTTGTTCCCTGTCATTTTGCTTTATTTGATGTTTGATTAATCGCGGGTTCCCTCTTATGTCATACTCCGGGGTTCCCTTAGACATTTATACACATGCACACTCTTCAAAATGGTGCTTACTGAGGATGCGCTAAAATGTATAGATTAAAATGTATATATATTTATGTAAAATGGAAGATATAGATTGTACTGCATGTTAGCTTGCTTATTGTCCCCAAAAGCATAATTTATTTAAGTCCATATGTCTAACAAGAAACTATGCTTCTAACCACAGGTCGAGAGCTGTAGTTCCTACCATGCAAGTTTGCGATGCTGTCTGCGAATGTTCGTTCGAACTATGGTTTCGGGAAACACCGAATTGTTGAACTATGTTGGTAACGACGGAATTTGCGACCATAGTTGGCTAACGATGCTTTTGGGAAACGCACCCCAGATTAGTTGTGTCTGTTTGATTTACTCAAAAAGAACATAATTTGAAACAGTTTTCAGCTCCCAACCCATATTTAAAACAACAAAATGTATCATTTATTATACACAGCTAAAATTTACTCTAATAAATTCTGATGACTTGCATTGAACTCAGGAATATTAAAACATAAAAAAAAACATTTATAATAATTATTAATAATAATTAAGAAAATGCTCTCTAGTATGAGAATGTCCCTCCCACTAATACAAACTGCCACCAACCAGCAATAGCAAGTAGCAACTCATGATTCATGGCTATTATGTAAATGAAAATCTACTGGCAGTTTAGATTAAATGAGGAGCCCTTCAATACTCCACAGCTTATTAGGAAATATATCAACACCGGTTATAAAACTGTGCCGTTTTATTCCATTTAAAAAATGTTATAGGATATAGAGATGAAAAATGAAACAAGCTAGATTTACCTCTTGTCATCCTCCACCTGAACCCCTATGGAGTGCACCTCTCTCAGCGCTTTGCCTTCTGGGTCTGAGTCAGACAACGTCTCTGAGCTGTCCACCTGGAAAACACAAAGAGAGACATTTAACAAAATGTTTCACAAGAGAGAGACATCATTCGGGCTGAATCTCTCACGGGATTATCCCCTCTTATACCTGCACTGCAATAGAGGGTCTCCACTTCCTCCCTCGTCCTTCCTGTTTGAACTCCTCTCCTCCAGTCAGAGCTTTAGCTAGGGACATACTGTTCTGGGGCAGAGAGGCTGATTTTCCCAGGCTGCCTCCAGCTCGGTCCCTAGATCCCCTGGGCCCCTCCAGAAGGTTATCAGCTGAGCTGCTGTGTTTCGGTTTCATTGGACCAGGTCCACCAGGGTAGGCGATGCTCTGAAGGGCCCTGCCATTCAAACTCTCCGCGGAGTTGCTGCTCTGTCTGACATGCGCAGTGCCCCCGCCAAGATAATGCCCACCTCTGGAGCTTCGGCCCCCACTGCTCTCCGTCAGGTCCACTGAGTTGCTATGCTGTCTGGGCCGTACCAGTGCGGGCTGTCCTGTACTCTGGAAGTAAGCATCCTGAGTGGACTCAGTGCTGCTCTGAGCAGTCACAGAGATCATTGGCTTGGACATGCGAGGTGGAAGAGGAGGGGGTCCTTTCCTGTATGGGAACACTAGACCGACAATGACATAAAGGTTTTATTAAGACTGCTATTTAAATATATCATTCATTTGAAAGATGAAGGGCTGTTCATTCAAAACAGTCGCCACAGAAGGAATAAAACATACTCTTCCTTTGAGTTAAGTTAACTTTCTGCTGAAGAAGGAAATTAAGCAGGAAAATCATTAGAAAGGAGAACAGAGGAAAGGTTGCAAGAACTTACAGTACAAAACCTGCTAGAGCCTTCAAGTACTAGGCATATTTTTGGTAGGTAAGAAAAAAGATGGACACACAAACCAGCACAAACACTTAATAGTTCACCCCAAAATTTTAATTTTATGTTTATCTGCTTACCCCCAGGGCATCCAAGAGGTAGGTGACTTTGTTTCTTCAGTAGAGCACAAATGATGATTTTTTTTTAGCTCCAACCGTTGCAGTCTATCAGTCGTATAATGCATGGCAATGGTAAGAAAATCTATGAGAGTAAAAAAAACATGCACAAACAAATCCAAATTAAACCCTGCGGCTCATGACGACACATTGAAGTCCTAAGACACGAAACGATCGGTTTGTGCGAGAAACCGAACAATATTTATATAATTTTTTACCTCTAATACACCACTATGTCCAACTGCCTTGAGCGCGCGCACTGCATCCGGTGCGTGAGGTGTGTTTACGCAAGCGCCAGAAGTGATCTCTCGCGCGTATACGTCACTCATTGTTTACACAGTGCACAAACATTGTAGGTACGACGGCTAATCAAAATGGTACTTACTTGCGCTTATCTGGATTGTTCAAATCGACTTAAAACTAAAAGATGATGTTCTCTCGCGCGAACTCATTCGGGAGTGGTGACTTTCCACGTATTCCCAACTTCTGAGCCTGCTCGCCTGAAGTTATGGTTGATTGCTCTTCGGTTGGATATCAACACACCCATTAACGTACTAAAGTTGTTGAGGGTCTGCAGCGATCATTTTTCCCCTGATGATTTTACATACCCAGGAGAGGATCACATACGACTTAAACCATCAGCTGTGCCTATGGTTTTTCCACATCCAACTGAGGTATGTGAACAAGATCTTTGTATGTGTCCTTTTTACTTGTAAAGCTGCCCTTACGAAAAGTAACAAATAAAGATAAGTTTTGATGTAATAAAACCATGTTTTTTAGTTGTTTACTTCCATTTGTATAACAACTGTTGTACTACAGGCACCATGTTGTTAACCATGGGTTTACTACAGAGACAGATATTTCGTTGCAATAACATTTCAAATACAACACATTACTCACTCTATTGACAGCGTGCCACTGGGTCCCTCTGGCCTTGAACGTCGCCTCCAGTTTATACGTGGCAAGCTAAACACAACATGCAAAACGCTGCATCTCAACAGCGGAGAAAAATCTGGATCTTCAGTCAGGCAGGTGTGTGATGGGACACCTTTGGCAATGTCCTCGTTGGCGTCTTGTAGTTGTGGCATTGCTATGTTCCATTCGTGACAACAGATGCTCTCCACTTCTGTTGGCATCTCACAACACTTACTACAAGAACACCACCACTTTTGAAGAGATCTCTGTCTCTCTGAGGCTTGAAGATGTGCTGCTGCAGCAGATGCTTCCTCCATCTCTCTGAGTTCTTGATCTGAGTGTTCTGGTTCAAATAAATACAGTTGGGCAGAAAAATCCACGTGGTCTGTTGATATATCAAAATCGTCTTCCATTGTGATGACCTGTACGTCTAAATATCTTTAGATCTTCACAGTGGCAGGGAACACATCCGCAATGACTGTGCACTGTGTAAACAATGCGTGACGTATACGCGCGAGAGATCACTTCCGGCGCTTGCATAAACTACGCCAGAGCGCGTACACATCTCACGCACCGGATGCCGTGCGCGCGCTCAAGGCAGTTGGACATAGTGGTGTATTAGAGGTTAAAAATTATATAAATACTGTTCGGTTTCTCGCACAAACCAATTGTTTCGTGTCTTAGGACATCAATGTGTCGTCACGAGCCGCAGGGTTTAATTTGGATTTGTCTGTGCATGTTTTTTTTACTCTCATAGATTTTCTTACCATTGCCATGCATTATACGACTGATAGACTGCAACGGTTGGAGTTAAAAATCATCATTTGTGTTCTACTGAAGAAACAAAGTCACCTACATCTTGGATTCCCTGGGGGTAAGCAGATAAACATCAAATTTTCATTTTTGGGTGAACTATCCCTTTAATGTTTTCAGTACAATTAAAAAATACAACCAAGACAAGGATGTGGCACCTTTATAGGGACGCCTTGTTTGTAATTTCATCCTACCCCCTTTTTGTTTTTCTTTTGGCCATAATGCAAGAGAAAAAAAATACAATGTTAGTGACGACCGTAGGCTTTTTAAAAGTCATTTAAAAGTCCTCATTGTGTGTGACCTCATTATTATTATTAGTAGCCAATGCTAACTGTTGTTAGTGTTTTAGTGTCATTAATTGATTTAAAAGTGACAAAGTGTTGTCACAACTTGTTTTAAGGTTATGGAACAATGACTGTGTTTTGGTAGTTTCAGTGCATTTTGGATGTGAAATTAACTGACAAGCTGAAACTGTTTAAGGACAACTGGATGAAGAGTTTTGAAAAGTGACCCGAGTGTAGAGAAATGTGTCTTAGCGATTGTAAAAAAAAATGGTATTGCAGATATTATCTTATACAGAGCAATCATACTGCTTCTGAGACAGATAGATAGATAGATAGATAAAAATTTACAGCAAAGACAGAATTGTGAGAACGCATACAGATATATGCAAATGTATTCTCTTTACCGAGAAGACAGAAACAGATAAATATACATATACTGTATACGTTATAGCTTAAAATCCCCATTCGAGTATTATCATTCAAAAGCTTTAGACACATCCTCATGGCTTAAGTAACATCCGCTCACACACACACAGACCCATTCAGTAGCTCTTGAGAACGGAGACATGAAATTCAGAGGGACACACTCAGAGATTAAAGGAGTTTTTAAAAAAGCATGCCTAAGCCCTCCTTCCATCTCTCTTGTCCTCTCCTCATCCCTCTCTCTTAAAAACACTCACACTCCGGTGTGTGTCACGAGTGTTGCCTTGGAAAACTGCAGATGGATGCTTTTGACACTTCACAAGGGCTTTAATAAATCTCCTGTGAGATTCTCTACTCTAAACGAGAGAATAAAGGACAGTGGGGAAAAAGACAAAGTCATCCACATGTTGGTGAGAGAGAGAATAAATTGCGATTGCAATAATGACCATACAGTGTACATTTTTACAGAGACTTTTTGTTGTTTGGCGTTTGCCCTGTCTTTTGGATTTTGTCATATTCATTCATTACAATACACTGACAATATTAACACTACGACCATAATCTTGACTACAACCCAAGGGACAGTCAAGGAGACAGACATCTCATGGGAATTTGAGCATTTAAAAGTGTTTACGATGTAACATTTGTTTACAGTCTTGATATACTGAGAGCGTAGAGATAGAAGGAAAACAGTTTTGATCTAAATCCCTTGGCAGAAGCGTGTTTCTCCAGCAATTCCAATGAGACTGATCCAAAAACTCATTAAGTCACTAATCTAATCCCTGTGACAGCATGGAAACTAGGCATACCCACACATACATAAACACATGCTGATGACTCACCTGCTTCGCCCTTCACGCACCCCTGTGGGCCCGACATGGAAAAGACAGACAGGCAGTCATCGTCCTGGGAGCAGCCGGCTTGGATAGCCCGTACGTAGCTGTGACTGCGGGTGCGGAAGCATCCGGGTAGGTCCAGTGCCTCGACAGCCTGTGATTCCATTTCTCCAAACAGGTTCAGAGAGTCACTCAACTAAAACATACAAAGACAAGATTTCGATGAAGGCTGAGTTTCAGATGTTTCAGCAAATAACCAGGACTGTTCATGCAACTGTTCAGTTGATAAATGATATGTAAAAGCTGAACGTGACCACACATTATTACTAATCAGGGTTATACCTAGTGACCAGAATATGAGGGGGTGTGCTCTGTTGACATTGAAACAATAAGCATTTATCTAGAACACTCTAACAACCACCTAGTCATGCATTACCAACTACCCAGAACTCCATAGTAATCACCTAGTTATGTCATAGCAACTAGAAGGATGCCCTAGCAATGACAAGAACACTTAAGGCACTGCCTAGTTATGCCCACCATCCAAAAGAGGCACAAAATCACTTTCACAGACTCTTAAATTAAAAGTTCTCTCCTGGTGGAATGACCTGCCCACCTCGATCCGAGCAGCTGAGTCCTTAGCCATCTTCAAGAATCGGCTAAAAACACATCTCTTCCATCTTTATTTGACCCTCTAAGCTACGTGTACTGCGTTAAGATAACTGAGACTTGTTATGGCACTTGCATATCATTGCTCTTTTGTTGATTTTGGTTGTTTCCATTATCCTCATTTGTAAGTCGCTTTGGATAAAAGCATCTGCTAAATGTAATGTAAAACTCTCTAGCAACTACCAAGTCAGGCCCTGGGCGAAGGGGAACAAAAGCATGTGATCGCACATGGATTGGCTACCCGGAACACGGTCGTGAACAGATCATGAACGGACCGAGGGGGACAAACAACAACTACCTAGTTATGCACTAGAAACTAGCAAGACGTCTTAGCAATCAACAGAACTCCCAAGCCACCTCCTAGTTATGCCAAACCAACCAGCAGAACACCCTAGCAATGCATTCATGATACTTTTGGTTTTCATGATTATTGAAAGAAAAATAAATCATTAAAATAACTTGGAAAAAATAAATACACGTAATGTGAACACTATGGTTTTACCTGAGCGCTGGTCAGAGAGCGTGTGGCGCTACGGGAGCGAGCATGGCCTTTAGGTGTGGTTCGACTGTTCGGGTAGATGTCTGTACACTGTTTACATGAGTACCTGAGAAGAGAAATACACCATTAAATCCCCAGATTGCACTTAGATTCCCATAAAGCAAAACGTACACCACTCAATCATTATGTAGTTGCGGTACCATTGTACAATGATGTACAAAATGGAATTACCTTGGTACACCCATATACCTTACCATTTTCATGTACTATTGGTTTTACATGCTAGTCCAGTGTGCTACTTTTTAATAGTGCAAATACAAATCTCAAAATAGCAACAAAAAACGGTCACAGAGTCTGGAAATTAAAACTGAAAACCAAGTGACAGCTGACTTAGATGCGGTGGAGGAGCGCTGGTCCATGCTGACAGAGCGGCGGAAGGCTTCTCTCTGGGCAATGAGGGCTGATTTGGGTGAGGCTTTCGGGCTGGTGTCTGAGTCAGCACTGTCGTCGTCCCCCATAGCCTTGATGTAGCTGCCACTGCGCATACGTCTGCAAGGGATCTCCCCACCACTGTCAGATGGCCCACCACCGCACCAGTCATCTGAGGGAACCTGCAAGAGACACACAACTTGCTGTCAACATGGCCTTTACTTATGAAACTGATGAGGGATGAGGCTGTTCTATATTTACATAAAAAGCTAATGCTGGAAACTAAAATTTTAGACACAACATCTGCAGTTTCTTTGAATCGAGCAAATCTGCTGAACATATAGGTTGAGTGAATGATTCACTCAGAAAGTCAGTTGTTTCATTCTTAAATGTATCTGTGTTTTTGAACAAAACAGAGTGAATGATTCAGTGACTCACTCATAAAGATTAGTTAGTGTTTTTGAACAAACCGAACGATTGAAGTATTCAATGACTTACTTGTTTTGTACCAGAATGAATCAATGCTTTGAACGAATGAGAAAAAAAGTTAAAGTTTCAATGACTCACTCAATATAAGAAAGTCACTTGTCTCCACCTGGTGTATCGATGTAACTTGTAGGAAGACTCAACTCCATCACTAATTCACAGATTGACAGTCTGTCTGGAGTGATTCAAAGAGTGAAAAGTCCAAGTGCTAATTTCGAGAACCTAAACTTACCGTCGTATAGCTATATATCATTGATATGAGAGAAAATGCAATGATATTGCAACTAAAGGTTTATGTATATCAGAAAAAAAAATCTTGTTAGAGCTGTGGCTTTCTGGTCACAGCGTAACCAGAGGGAATGCAGGGTTGAACTGAGGGCAGCTGAGTAAAATAAAATCTGATTGGCTGACAGGGATGAAAGGCACCAGCTGTACATTTAGAGCTGTCATCACACTCAAGAGCTGCCCCTCGGCTGGGGCATGGACAGAGCACAGATGTGGGGAGATAGCAGGTTATGGAGGGGAGGCAAGATTATTTATTTTCATGAACTCTGCTCTCCAGAGCCATGTCCTTTTCTGATAGCATCGCTGCGTATTATTGCTGTTTTTTGCCTCTGCATTTGCTCTCTGTCACATATTTTGAAAACATAAAATAAAAAATAGTGTCTTACAAGCTATACAGCCACTATAGGATAGCTAGACATTTAATACCAGAACCAATAACTCTTTCAATTCAGGGCAAGGAGAGATGGGCGCAGTTCCAGTGTTGTCTATGTTTAACAAAAGGATGTTCCCTCTTAAACTTGTTGCTGTCCTTACTGTTTAACTGTATACAGGTGCATCTCAATAAATTAGAATGCCATGGAAAAGTTCATTTATTTCAGTAATTCAACTCAAATTGTGAAACTCGTGTATTAAATAAATTCAATGCACACAGACTGAAGTAGTTTAAGTCTTTGGTTCTTTTAATTGTGATGATTTTGGCTCACATTTAACAAAAACCCACCAATTCCCTATCTCAACAAATTAGAATACTTCATAAGACCAATAAAAAAACATTTTTAGTGAATTGTTGGCCTTCTGGAAAGTATGTTCATTTACTGTACATGTACTCAATACTTGGTAGGGGCTCCTTTTGCTTTAATTACTGCCTCAATTCGGCGTGGCATGGAGGTGATCAGTTTATACGACAACTGTAGCCACATTCCTTGACACGTCTGTGTGTGGTGACTCTTGATGCTTTGACCCGAGCCTCAGCCCATTCCTTGTGAAGTTCACTCAAATTCTTAAATCGATTTTGCTTGACAATCCTCATAAGGCCTCTTGTGCATCTTTTTCTTCCACACTTTTTCCTTCCACTCAACTTTCTGTAAACATGCTTGGATACAGCACTCTGTGAACAGCCAGCTTCTTTGGCAATGAATGTTTGTGGCTTACCCTCCTTGTGAAGGGTGTCAATGATTGTCTTCTGGACAACTGTCAGATCAGCAGGCTTCCCCATGATTGTGTAG